CTGACCCTCCTTAGGAATTTTCTTTGTCCTCTCCTCACTCTTGCTCCCCCTCCCTACCTGAAGCCCTGTTTATAAGCTCTAACACCAGTCAATAAACGGAGACCTTGATACAACTCAGACTGACTCTGTCTTTCTTCACGCGCTTGGTCTCCTTTCCCTCTCACCCCCCATTGATTCACAGGTGGTCCCCCCTCGAGACCCTCGAATAACCTGGCCTGCTGGATGGGTCAGTCTTGGATACGGGAACATGTCATGGATATGGATATAGGTCTTGGATATGGACAGGTCTTGGATATGGATACAGGTCTTGGTATGGGTAAAGGAATTAAATATGAATTCAGATTTTGATAATGGGCACAGGTTGTGGTTATGGGTACAAGCACTAGTTATGGGTACAGTTATTGGAAATGGTTACAGGGCTTGGTATGGGTTCAGGTGTTGGGTATGAGTTCAGGTTGTGGTTATGGGTACAGGTAATGGATATGGGTAGAGGTTTTGATATGGGTTCAGGAGTTGGCAAGGGGTTCAGATTTTGGGAATGGGTACAGGTTGTAGTTATGGGTACAGGTATTGGATATGGGTACAGGTATTGGATATGAGTACAGGTCTTGGTATGGGTTCAGCAGTTGGATATGGGTTCAGGAACGAAAAATGGGTTCAGATTATGGGAATGGGTATAAGTATTGGATATGTGTACAGGTTTTGAATATGAGTACAGGTCATATATATGGATAATGGTCTTGGATATGGGTACAGGTCTTGGATATGGATACGGGTCGTGGATAAGGATACAGGTGCTGGATATGGGTACAGGTGCAGGATATGGGTACAGGTCTCGGATATGGGTTCAGGTCTTGGATAAAGATATAGGTCTTGGATATGGGTACAGGTCTTGGATATGGGTACAGGTCTTGGTATGGGTTCAGGAATTGGATATGGGTTCAGGTTTTGGGAAGCGGCACAGGTACTGGATATGGGAATAGATATTGGATATTGTTACAGGTCTTGGATATGGGTACAGGTCTTGGATATGGGTACAGGGCTTAAATAAGGGTACAGGTGGAGGAGATGGGTACAGGTCTCCGATATGGGTTCAGGTCTTGGATATGGGTGCAGGTCTTGGTATGGGTTCAGGAGTTGGATATGGATTCAGGTTTTGGTAATGGGTACAGGTTGTGGTTATGGGTACAGGTATTGGATATGGGTACAGGTCTGGTATGGGTTCAGGAATTGGATATGGGTACAGGTATTGGATATGGGTACAGGTCTTGGTATGGGTTCAGGAATTGGATATGGGATCAGGTTTTGGGAAGCGGCACAGGTACTGGATTTGGGTACAGGTAATGGATATGGGTACAGGTCTTGGTATGGATTCAGGAGTTGGATATGGGTTCAGGTTTTGGGAATGGGTACAGGTTGTGGTTATGGGTACAGGTATTGGATATGGGTACAGGTCTGGTATGGGTTGAGGAGTAGGATATGGGTAGAGGAATGAAATATGGCTAAAGGTTTTGGGTTTGGGTACAGGTATTGGATATCGGTACAGGTCTTGGATATGGGTACAGGTCATGGATATGGATATAGGTATTGGATATGGGTACAGGTCTTGGATATGGATGAAGGTCTTTGATGTGGGTGGAGGTCTTGGATAAGGGTACAGGTGCTGGATATGGGTACATGTATTGGATATGGGTACAGGTCTTCGATATGGATACAGGTCTTGGATATGGATACAAGTCTTGGATATGTGTACAGGTGCTGGATATGGGTACAGGTCTTGGATATGGGTACAGGTCTTTGATATGGGTACAGTGTTGGATATGGGTAAAGGTCTTGGCAAGGGTTCAGGAATTAAACATGGATTCAGGTGTTGGGTATGGGATCAGGTTGTGGTTATGGGTACAGGGGCTAGATATGGGTACAGGTATTGGAAATGGGTAGAGGCCTTGGTACGGATTCAGTTGTTGGGTATGGGATCAGGTTGTGGTTATGGGTACAGGGGCTAGATATGGGTACAGGTATTGGAAATGGGTACAAGTCTTGGTATGATCAGGAGTTGGATATGGGTCCAGGTTTTGGGAATGGGTACAGGTTGTGGTTATGGTTAAGGTATTGAATATGGGTACAGGTCTTGGTATGGATTCAGGAGTTGGATATGGGTTCAGGTTTTGGGAAAGGGTACAGGTTGTGGTTATTGGTACAGGTATTGGATATGGGTACAGGTATTGGATATGGGTACAGGTCTTGGTATGGCTTCAGGAGTTGAATATGGATTCAGGAATGAAATATTGGTTCAGGTTGTGGGAATGGGTACAGGTCTTGGATATGGGAACACGTCATGGATATGGATATAGGTCTTGGATATGGACAGGCCTTGGATATGGATACAGGTCTTGGCATGGGTACAGGAATTAAATATAGGTTCGGATTTTCATAATGGGTACAGGTTGTGGTTATGGGTACAAACACCTGTTATGGGTACAGTTATTGGAAATGGGTACAGGCCTTGGTGTGGGTTCAGGTGTTGAGTATGGGTTCTGGTTCTGGTTATAGGTACAGGTATTGGATATGGGTACAGATTTTGATATGGGTTCAGGAATTGAATATGGGTTCAGATTTTGGGAATGGATACAGGTTGTAGTTATGGGTACACGAATTTGATATGGGTACAGGTATTTGATATGGGTACAAGTCTTGGTATGTGTTCAGGAGTTGGATATGCTTACAGGTTTTAGTTATGGGTACAGGTATTGGATATGGGTACAGGTATTTGATATGGGTACAGGTCTTGGTATGGTTTCAGGTGTTGGATATGGGTTCATGAACGAAAAATGGGTTCAGATTATGGGAATGGGTACAGGTATTGGATATGTGTACAGGTCTTGGATATGGGTACAGGTCATATATATTCATAAAAGTCTTGGATATGGGTACAGGTCTTAGATATGGATACAGGTCTTGTATATGGGTACAGGTGATGGATATGGGTACAGGTCTTGGATATGGGTACAGGTTTCAGATTTTGAGAATGGGTACAGGTTGTGGTTATGGGTACAGGTGATAGATATCGGTACAGGTATTGGAAATGGGTACAAGTCTTGGTATAGGTTCAGGAGTTGGATATGGGTCCAGGTGTGGGGAATGGGTACAGGTTGTGGTTATGGGTACAGGTATTGGATATGGGTACACGTATTGGTATGTGTTCAGGTGTTGGATATGGGTTCAGGAATGAAATATGAGTTCAGGTTTTGAGAATGGGTACAGGTCTTGGATATGGGTACAGGGCTTGGATAAGGGTACAGGTGGAGGAGATGGGTACAGGTCTCAGATATGGGTTCAGGTCTTGGTAAGGGTACAGGTGTTGGTATGGGTTCAGGATTTGGATATGGGTTCAGGTTTTGGGAAGGGGCACAGGTACTGGATTTGGGTACAGGTAATGGATATGGGTACAGGTCTTGGTATAGGTTGAGGAGTAGGATATGGGTAGAGGAATGAAATATGGCTTCAGGTTTTGGGTTTGGGTACAGTAATTGGATATGGGTACAGGTCTTGGATATGGGTACAGGTCATGGATATGGATATAGGTATTGGATATGGGTACAGGTCTTGGATATGGATGAAGGTCTTTGATATGGGTGGAGGTCTTGGATAAGGGTACAGGTGCTGGATATGGGTACAGGTCTAGGAAATGGGTTCAGGTCTTGGATATGGGTACAGGTCTTGGATATGGGTACTGGTCTTGGTATGGGTTCACGAATTAAATATGGATTCAGGTTTTTGAAATGTTTACAGGTGCTAGATATGGGTACAGGTATTGGAAATGGGTACAGGTCTTGGTATGGGTTCAGGAGTTGGATATGTGTTCAGGTTTTGGGAATGGGTTCAGGTTTTTCGAATGAGTACAGGTTGTGGTTATGGATACAGGTATTGAATATGGGTACAGGTTTTGATACGGGTTCAGGAGTTGGATATGGGTTCAGGTTTTAGGAAGTGGCACAGGTACTGGAAATGGGTACAGGTATTGGATATGGTTACAGGTCTATGTTACGGTTCAGGTCTTGGATATGTGTACAGGGCTTGGATATGGGTACAGGTCTTGGTATGGGTTCAGGAATTAATTATGGGTTTAGGTTTTGGGAATGGGTACAGGTATTGGATGTGGGAACAGGTCTTGCTCTGGGTTCAGGAGTTGGATACAGGATCAGGAATTAAATATGGGATCAGGTTTGGGGAATGGGTACAGTCATTGATATGGGTACCGGTCTTGGAATTGGGTACAGGTCATGGATATGGATATATGTCTTGGATGTGGGTACAGGTCTTAGATATGGACAAAGGTCTTGGATATGGATAAATGTGTTGGATATGGGTAGAGTTCTTGGATAAGGGTACAGGTGCAGGAAATGGTTACAGGTCTCGGATATGGGTTCAGGTCTTGAATAGGGGTACAGGTCTTTGTATGGGTTCAGGAGTTAGATATAGGTTCAGGTTTTGGGAAGCGGCACAGGTACTGGATATGGGTACAGGTCTTGGATATGGGTACAGGGCTTGGATAAGGATACTGGTGCAGGATAGGGGTATAGGTGTCGGATATGGGTTCAGGTCTTGGATATGGGGAGAGGTCTTGGATAACGGTACAGGTGAAGGATATGGGTACAGGTCTTATATATGGGTTCAGGTCTTGGATATGGGTACAGGTCTTGGATATCGGTACAGTTCTTGGTGTGGGTTCAGCAGGTGGATATGGGTTAAGGTTTTGGGAAGCAGAAAAGTTACTGGTTATGGGTACAGGTATTGGATATGGTTTAAGCTCTTGGATATGGGTATAGGCCTTGGATATGAGTACAGGGCTTGGATAAGGGTACAGGTGTAGGATAGGGGTACAGGTCTCAGATATGGGTTCAGGTCTTGGATATGGGTACAGGTATTGGATAGGGTTACAGTTCTTGTTTTGGGTTCTGGAATTAAATATGGATTCAGGTTTTGGGAATGGGTACAGGTGCTAGATATGGGTACAGGTATTGGAAATGGGTACAGGTCTTGGTATGGGTTCAGGAGTTGGATATGTGTTCAGGTTTTGGGAATGGGTTCAGGTTTTTGGAACGGGTACAGGTTGTGGTTATGGGTACAGGTATTGGATATGGTTACAGGTTTTGATATGGATTCAGGAGTTGGGTATGGGTTCAGGTTTTGGGAAGCGGCACAGGTACTGTATATGGGTACAGGTATTGGATATGGTTACAGGTCTTGGATATGGGTACAGGTCTTGGATATGGGTACAGGTCTTGGTATGGGTTCAATAATTAATTATGGATTCTGGTTTTGGGAATGGATACAGGTGCTAGATATGGGTACAGGTATTGGAAATGGGATCAGGTCTTGGTATGGGTTCAGGTTTTTCGAATGGGTACAGGTTGTGGTTATGGGTATAGGTATTGGATATGGGTACAGGTTTTGATATGTGTTCAGGATTTGGATATAGGTTCAGATTTTGGAAGCGGCAAAAGTACTGGATATGGGTACAAGTATTGGATATGGTTACGGGTCTTGGATATGGGTACACATCTTCGATATTGGTACAGGGATTGGATATGGGTACAGCTCTTGGTGTGAGTTCAGGAATTAATTATGGGTTTAGGTTTTGGGAATGGGTACAGGTATTGGATATGGGTACAGGTCTTGGTATGGGCTCAGGAGTTAGATATGGGTTCAGGTTTGAAATATGGGCTCAGGTTTTGGGAATGGGTACAGTTATTGATATGGGTACAGGTCTTGGATATGGGTACAGGTCATGGATATGGACAAAGGTCTTGGATATGGGTAGAGGTCTTGGATAATGGTACAGGTGCAAGATATGGGTACAGGTCTGGGATATGGGTTCAGGTCTTGGATATGGGTACAGGTCTTGGATATGGCTACAGGGCTAGGTATGGGTTCAGGAGTTGGATGTGGGTTCAGGTTTGGGAAGCGTCAGAGGTATTGGATATCGGTAGAGGTATTGGATATGGTTCAGGTCTTGGATATGGGTACAGGTGCAGGATATGGGTACAGGGCTTGGATAAGGGTACAGGTGCAGGATATGGGTACAAGTCTCGGATATGGGTTCAGGTCTTGGATATGGGTACAAGTCTTGGATATGGGTACAGGGCTTCTATATGGGTACAGGGCTTGGATAAATGTATGGGTGCATGATAGGGGTACAGGTCTAGGATATGTGTTCAGGTCTTAAATATGGGTACCGGTCTTGGATATGTGTAGAGGTCTTGGTTTCGCTTCAGGAGTTGTATATGGGTTCAGATTTTGGGAAACGGCACAGGTAATGGATATGGATACAGGTATTGGATATGGTTACAGGTCTTGGATATGGGTACAGGCCTGGGATAAGTGTATGGGTGCAGGATAGGGGTACAGTTCTAGGATATGGGTTCAGTTCTTGGATATGGGTATGGGGCTGGGATAAGGGTACATCTGCAGGATATGAGTACAGGTCTCGGTTATGGGTTCAGTTCTTGGATATGGATTCAGGTCTTGGATGTGGGTACAGGTCTTGTAATGGGTTCAGGAGTTGGATATGGGTTCAGGTTTTGGGAAGGGGCACAGGTACTGCATTTGGTTACAGGTATTGGATATGGGTACAGGTCTTGGTATGGATCAGGAGTTCGATATGGGTTCAGTTTTTGGGAATGGGTACAGGTTGTGCTTATGGGTACAGGTACTGGATATGGGTACAGGTCTTGGTATGGGTTCAGGAGTTGGATATGGGTACAGGAATGAAATGTGGGTTCAGGTTTTGGGTATGGGTAAAAGTATTGGATATGATACAGGTCTTGGATATGGGTACAGGTCTTGGATATGGGTACAGGTCTTGGATACGGGTACAGTCCTTGGTATGGGTTCAGAAATTAAATATGGATTCAGGTTTTGGGAATGGGTACAGGGGCTAGATATGGGTAGAGGTATTGCAAATGGGTTCAGGTCTTGAAATGGGTTCAGGACTTGGAGATGTGTTCAGGCTGTGGTTATGGAAACAGTTATTGGATATGGGTACAGGTCTCTGATATTTGTAGAGGTTTGGATATGGGTACAAGTCTTGGTATGGGTTCAGTAATTAAACAAGGATTCAGATTTTGAGAATGGGTACAGGTTGTGATTATGGGTACGGGTGCTAGATCTCGGTACAGGTATTGGAAATGGGTACAAGTCTTGGTATGATTTCAGGAGTTGGTTATGGGTCCAGGTATGGGGAATGGGTACAGATTGTGGTTATGGGTACAGGTACTGGATATGTGTACAGGTTTTGGATATGGTTACAGGTCTTGGATATGAGTACAGGTTTGGATATATGTACAAGGCTTGGATAAGAGTACAGGTGCAGGATATGGGTACAGGTCTCGGATATGGGTTCAGGTCTTGATATGGGTACAGGGCTTCGATAAGGGTACAGGTGCAGGATATGGGTACAGGTCTCACATATGGGTTCAGGTCTTGGATATGGGTACAAGTCTTGGATATGGGTACAGGTCTTGGTATGGGTTCAGGTGTTTGATATGGGTTCAGATTTTGGGAAGGGGCACAGGTACTGGATATGGGTAGAGGTATTGGATATGGGTATAGGTCTTGGTATGGATTCAGGGGTTGGACATGGGTTCAGGTTTTGGGAATGGGTACATGTGGTGGAAATCTAATTGTACTGAATTATTATTTTGATTTTATATTAATAAATAAAGTTGTCTGTGGGTCAGAGCTATTAGAGCCATAGCAAGAGTGTGGCGGTGGTGGCACACGCCTTTAATCCCATAAGATCTCTGTGTGTTCAGGGATATAGCCACCATTGGAGACATATGCCTTTAAGACCTAGGGGGCTCGCCGGGCGGTGGTGGCGCACGCCTTTAATCCCAGCACTCGGGAGGCAGAGCCAGGCGGATCTCTGTGAGTTCGAGGCCAGCCTG